GGCCGCGCGCCCTCTGGTGGTAAACCGTTAAGCTGCAGGGACTTAGCCCCACAAAGCCCTTGCTGGGAAGGCGGTGGGTGATTAAGTCCCTGAGACCTGCCTAGCCGAACCCACACACGCCCAAACTGAGACGAAATAACAATCAATGACTGCTGCTGTTTTACGACACTAAATTTGATTTGGTTTGTTACCCAGCAATAGTAACCGGGACACGTGTGTGCCCACATTCCCCAAAGTCAGGTAGAAAGTGATAGTTGCAGAGAAGGACAGCGAAGTAGGTGCAGAGCTCCCGGGAAGGATAACCAGCCCGCCTCTGCCTTTTAGATTTTCCTGACAAGTGTCAGGCCCCGGTCCACTGTGGCCCCAACTAGAGGGGTGCACACTGCATGGTATGAGTGCCCCTGGTGAAGGCCCTTTGTGTCCCCATCCCAAACTCACACGTTGCAATCCTGCCCCCCAGAGGGGATGGTGTTGAGAGGTAGGGACTTTGGGAAGTGATTAGGTCCTGCGTGTGGAGCTTCCTGAACAGGTTAGGGCCTTTGTCAGAAAGCGACCGTGCTGCCTCTGTGACCATGACACTCTCGTTTTGACGTGACCTGGGAAGGAGAAGAGAACTACCCCTTTTCCATCCCTCCATAAATCCTTTGTCTCCACCTTCTCCCTACTTTTAAATCCTTTTTCATGTAAATGAAGTGTTTAAGAACCAGGAGCCTGGTTCTTGACCACCTTCAGTGAATTATTTGCTTGAGACTTGCTCTCTTTGAACTGTAACATTTATTATCTTTGTGTCTCCATTAAGACCAAGACTGGAAAGGCCTCACTGTTGATATTATGTGCATGTACCCATTTTTTAAAGACCAGAAGTAAACAAATTAAATCTAGTTATAGCTGAATGACAAGTTTATAAGTGATTTTATTTTCTTCTTTAGACTATATTTTCCTAAATTTTTCATGGTGACATTATTATGTTGAGAATCAAAAACAATGCCAGCCTTTTTAAGGGCAATATCCTGGCTCCACCTAGACATCAGGGCATATGGAAGGGGTGGGAGTGGTGAGGTGGAAGGACAGATGGAGCCGTACACCTGTGCTGGCTGTGGAAGCCAGGACCCCAGAGAAGGGACTGGGCCTGAAGCTGCACAGTGACAGGGAGGGCCTCCAGGGGGTGGGGGTCATGACCACAGCCCAGCTCAGGCCACCACTCAGATGGTGGGAAAAACTGCTCCCTGCCGAGAATCTCAACCCCGCCACTACAGCAGCCTCAGCCGGAGCAGTGTCATTTCCACTGGCATTTCTGGGGGGCAAAGAGAAATGGTCAAGTCCACACTACTCCACTTCTGCCTTGGATTTCCAGGTCAGATAGCTTTTCCTTTTTCATTTAAACCAGTTCTTGCTGAAATCCTTCCTGTCTTCTAGAGCACACCCTGCCCAAGCTTTGAACAGAGCCTCTGGTATCTCATCATTGATTCATTCACTGATTTTTATTTGGCATCTTCTCTAGGCCAGGCCTGTCCTGATACGAAGATACAGATATGACTGTGACATGATTTATTGCTCACTTGAATCCCACACATGATTCATGAGAAACCATGGGCATTCTGGGATCTAGAATGCCAGGTTTTCACAATCCTTAAGCCCTCCCAGAGGCCTTAGGACAGGAAGCAGCCAAGTGCTGGGTGGGAATGAGCCCCGCGTGCCCATGAGCCCCACGCTCCTTCACACGCTCGGGCAGTGACTCCTTGTAAAGATCTGAAGGTCATTTCCATTTTCCATTATGTAGGACTGCTTTCTGCGGTAGAAAATGGCTGTCCCAGTGGACGGGGATCACACGGCCTGGGTGGGACTTAAGAATCTCCTTAAATTGTAAAATGTTGCATGGATGTACATATTTTAGGAAGCTTTCTTGAGACACTCTATTGGGACCACAATGCAAAGAAGTTTAAAACATTGATTCAGCCTTATTTGCCTATTTGAGGATAAATGAATGATATACAAACTGTCTGGAATAATACAATGGAATAACTCACATTTGCACTGCACTTCCTATTATCAAAACATGTTTTAAGCACTTCATGCACATGAATTTACTGACCCTCATGACAACCCTGAGATTTAGGGACAATTACACACAGTTCACCATGAGGATGCTAAGGTGAAGTAATTGGCCAGTGATGAGGCTGGGGTTCAACCCAGGGAGCGCAGATCCTAAGTCCCTGCTCTCCACCACTGCCGGAAGACGGCAGGGAGGAGGGAAATGCCACTGAGCCTGAGGCAGAGCTCGGCACATTGGAGGCTGCCTCTCCAGCCCCCTCCTAGCAACCTTCTGATTCGCGATTGCTCCTGACTTGGCAGGTGATGGAAGTGAGGTTCAGAGATGCACAGCGAATTGCCCAAAGTTAGACAGTTCATTGGTGGCAGAGCCACTCCGACCTTGTCCAGAGCGTTGCAGGGGCAGGCTCCGGGAACTACAGGGCAGCTGCTGTGTGCCCACAGAGGGGTCAGGCTGCCTGTCCCTCCAGCTGCAGCCAAGCACACCCTGACTCCTGGAATCTGTTCCATCAGCCTTGAACTCACTGCGGAAGCCAGACTTCCAAAGCAGAAACCCTGATTGCAGACTATTCTAAAGGGCATAATTAATTTTTACACTCATGGGGCCAAAAATCAGTAACCAGCTTCTCTCCATTCAGTCACTCAGGGACAGTGGCGGAGCGCCTGCTGAGTGCCGCAACCCGTTCTACCGCGTGGGTTGCGGCGGCGCACCAAACTGGAGCTGATATTCTAATAGGATGGCAGGTTTGACAACCAGAGAAAGAACCGGGGCTTTACTCTAACTCTGGAATCTGAGGTACCAACTTCTCTGGGTTTTAGTTTTCTGATCTGTGAAATGGGATTAAGATAGCATGTGTGTTAAGAGACAGAGAATGAAATAATAGTTCTCACTCTTATCTGACACGTCAAGTTCCCCCCTTGCCTTTGTGTTGATGCACTGCTGTTACATGAATCTGGACACACCACTGAACCTCTCCAAGTCCAACAGCTGAGCTGGGATTTGGGCCCCAGGCTGGATGGGTCTAGGCCTGTGTTGTTTCTATTCTAGCATCTTGAGTTCTGCCCAGCTCAGGCCTCCCAACCTGATCTCGCGGCTCAATGATGCATATTCCACTCAAGTTAAGGCTCACAGGGCCTGGAAGCACACTCAGAGAAGCCGACCAGAGGAAGCCTGAATGTCAAGAGCATCTCATTCAGGACACTGAAGGCCACATTGCTCCCTGTGGTCCTTCCTCAAATGGCTTGAGAAGCAGCCAGATGTCACCCACACCTCCACCTGCCCCAGGGTGGTCCAAAGGCCCAGAGCTCAGTGGGTAGTGGAGAGACCGCAGTTCCAAGTTCCACAGGTAAAGAGGAAATGTACCGCTGGACTCCTGGCCAAGGGAGGGGTCTGAGGCCAACGTGTGACATCTCAGGGGGTTCCATCACAGAACCATGTAGTTTTAAAGCTGGGAGGCACCTCAGAAATTCCGTGGTCCAAACGGCAAACTGGGGGCCCTGGGAAGGATCTAGCTCCTGGGTGGTTTTTGTCGGGGTGCAAAGAGCTCTCTGTGCCACATGATCCATTTCCCATCATGTCACCCTGGATTGTGATGGCTCTGGAGTTTGCTGCCCCTGATCTGGTCCAAAACTTCATTTTTCAGGTGGTGGGGGGTGGGGGGTGGGATGGGAAGCTGTTACAGAAACCCAGAGAAACAGTGCTCAGGTTTGCAGAGCAAATGAGGGTCAGGGTGGAGGCCAGACCTACTAAGGAGTTCCCCTGGGCCTCAGCACACGACACGAACAGTGCGTCTGGGCGCTCTCTTGGGAGGATGCAAGCCGGCCATCAGTCAGGTTTCTGTGTGTAGAGCCCATGTCACACCTATGGGGGTGTTCATTAATAATTACTCAACCAGGGAGGTGGGAGGTGGTGCTGAGAGGTTTCTCCAGTCTTTCTGCACTTGATAAACCCAAACCACAACTCTGGGCCACCTCTAGAGCTCAGACAGCCACTCCAGGATTGCCTTAGCTGTGAGTAACCCTCTGAGGGCCGCGTCGGAGACCTAGAGGCAGGGAGACCAACTGCCCTGGTTTGCTGAGAACTGGGAGTCCCAGGACACAAGACTTGCAGTGCTGAAACTAGGCAAGTTCTGGGCAAACTGGGACAATTGGTCACACTATTTAAAGGTGACAAATCCTGAGGCAGAAAGACCCCTACATGTGGTTGCACCAGCCTGCTGGCTGTGCTGGCTGGGGAACTAGCGTCACCTGCCAACAGCCTCAGCCCATCAAGGACACGCACAGCCCACAGTGACTCAGGTCTTCTGGCTCCTGATCCGGGTACTTTCAGAAAGCGCCCAGCAGAGGGGAATTCTGACTAATCTCCCTGTAAGGCCAGAGAGAAGCATAGGGGATTCAGGGGGAGGGTTTGTTATCGGTTGGTGGGAAGCCATGTTGAAGGGAAGGGTGTTTGGTGGGTGGGTGAAGAGGTCTGATGTGTTCTTAAATGATTGCTTCAACTGCTGGGTGGAAAACAGGGTACAGAGTCCATTAGGAAGCTCCCACAGTGGTCTGGGTGGCCTACTGTCTATTTTTGTACTAGCTAAGAATGCAAACTACAAATGGTTGAAGAAAATCAAAAAAGGTACAATATTTTGTGACACACTGAAAAGTATATGAAATTCAAATTTCTGTGTCCATCAATCAGGTTTCATGAGAGCACAGCCAGGCCCATTTGCAACACTTTGCAGGGGCCACTTTGCAGCCAGCACAGCCAGGGCGAATGACTCCGTGGCCCACAGTCTCTGGCCCTTTACAGGGAAAGTTGTTTGGCCCCTGGTCTGGGTGGAAGATGCTGGAGACTGAATGAGGGTTGTAGCTGTGAAGGGGCCAGGAGATTGAAGGAAGGACCTGTAGGACATGCCAAGAGGCTGGACGAGGTGGGGCGGCTGGAGGCTAGACAGGTGTTACAGATGACAACCGGTGTTTGGGCCGGAGAACCTGAAAGCGGTAGGGCCATTTGGTTTGGGGCAGATTAAATTCATTAGGAAGAGGGACCAATCCTGTCCCTGTGACTAAGGGCAAATCATTGATTGAGCATCAGTGGTCTTCTCTGTACAAGGTAATGATAAGCACACCAGTTCTACTGACCTCTGCCTAGGTAAGAGGGTCCAACAGAATGGCACAAAGGTGATTTTCTGAACTGTAAAGTACACTGCGGATGCTTGTGGAATAGATGTTAAAATAGCCTTTGGTGATGGCACCCTTGGTGCAATGGGTCACTGAGCTAAGGGAATGGGCTCCCCTGGTGGAGGACTCCCGGCCAGGAGCCCAGAGGCCTGGCTTGGTTAGCTCACTTTGGAAGCCTCTGTTTCCCAGCCTGTGATGAGAATGGAGCCCAGTGCTGTGCAGAGCTCACAGAGATGGGAAATGAAATGAGATGGTGGATGCTAGGAGCCTGCTTTGTAAATCTGAAGCACCTCTGTGCAGTATTGTCACCACACGCAGAGGGGACTGGGTGTTTGCTAGTCTGCAAGTCCATCTGCAAGGGTTGAGGGTGTCATTTACCAGCCCGGGGCCCTGCCCCTGCCCGGGTTGGACATTCTGGAGAATTTCCTGGGCACTCCCTTTCCTCCTATAGACCTGAGAACTCAGAAGATACATCTTGCCAGCCACCTGCTCCTCCTTCTGTCTGGGCTACTGACCCTTTTCCATGGTCAGCTGTGCCCTGAGCCTGATGGCCAAGGTTGCACCAACAGCCCCATCAAGAGGCTCTGGGCCCACGTAAGGGCTCCCCCAACCCCCGCCCCCCTCAAGATTGCCCCAGGCAATACTGCCTTTACCTTCCTCATATACCACCTGATGGCTTTCCAACCCCCAGGATCAATATCTTCTCCCCCCTGAGCATCCCTGCCACCACCTATGCCATGTTGTCCCCGGAGGCCCACTTGCACAGCCAGCCCAGATCTTAGAAGGTCTGGGCTTCATCCTCACAGAGGTGTCTGAGTTGGACACCCACCGGGCCTTCCAGCCCCTCCTGCACAATCTCAACCTCCCGGGCAACAGGCTGGAGAGGCACACGGGCAGCACCTTGCTTCTGAGCCAGGAGCTGGCACTCCTGAGATTCCTTAATGTCACCCTGGCCTTCTACAGGTCCAGACTCTTCGGCACCAACTTCCTCAACTCTGTGGGCATAACCCATCTTACCAATGACCATTTCAAGGAAGAAACTCAAGGGAAGATTGTGGATCTGGTCAGTGAGCTTTGCACAGATATTGTGATCAGAGATTCCATCAGAGGCATGAGTATTAGGGGAAAGGGGGTTCTTAGAGGAATTAGACCTCACATGTTGCAGGAGGGGATGGGGAAGCGAAATGTCTGGATGAAGAGGGAGTTGGAGGGGGACAAAGAAAAGCCACTGGTACAGATGAATAAACTGGAGCTTATCAGGAATCTGTATGCCAGGCACATCCAGCCGCCACCATGGGTCCACTTAGGGAGCTTATAGAGAGGCTCCCGAAGGCACGAGGTGGTGGCTTAGGGACATTGTTGATTAGCAGGGCTAGTTTAGGGACAAGGAACTTGGAGGAAAGCTTGGACTAGCTGGATCACACAGGGCTCCTCTGGGTCCATCCCTCATCCCATGCCCTGCAAAGACCTGAATCACGCAGTGATTGCTTTACATCTACCTCCTAGTCTCATGCTTGTAGCCACCTTGAACCCTAAATCAACAGAGAACAGATTCTGGGAAATAGTCCCAGACTAATAATCCAGCTAAACTGGTCACTGCTTGCACTTTACATGTGGCATTTTCATGCACCATTGAAAACTTTTTTTAAACCTTGTTAATTCTGCAATAACCATAAATACAAAGGAGGTTGCAAAAGTACCTTTCACCCAGGTGCCCCTAGATAACATCTCATAAATGTAGTAGAATGGCAAAACCAGGAAATGGACATTGATGAAATCTACAGACTTCATTCACATTTTACCAAGTTTTACATGTACTCCTGTGTGTATGTGTGTATTTAGTTTTATGCTATTGAAAACTTTATTTAGATCTCATCAGAGTGTCCACACAATATTCCACCAACTCCATTCCTTTTCGAATATAATGTAATTTAAATGTATAGTATACACCAGTACCCCACCAAAAACTTTTGCAAGAAACAATGAAGATTTTTAGTGTTCTCTTCCCAGAAAAGACATAATTCCAACTGTGTTTGTGTTCTTGGCATAAGAAAAAGAGGTTTCTTTCTTTTAATGAACTAGGGAGATCGGGACAGCCTGCCCTCCGTCCGACACATCGCCCAATACTCTCGAGACATACATGTTGTCCCAAGAGTTCAGTGTAGGACACAGTGAAAGTACCTATAAGAAAACAAACAGAAGATGTGCTGGATCTCTGTAAACAAGATTATATTGAGAGACACATTATGATGGACTTATGGAAAAAAGCAGATATATCATATTCCTGATAAGGAAGACTTAATATGGTAAAGATGTCAGTTCCCCCCAGAGGTAATCTGAATTTTTAATGTAATCCCAATAAAAATCCTAACAGATCTTTGTTGTTATTATTTTGGTGGCAGTTAACAAGCTGATTCTAAAATATACATGAGAGTGCAAAGGACCAAGAATAGGTAAGATGGGAAAACTTTCCTGCCAGAGAGCAAGACTTACTATAAATGTGTATTAATGTAGACTGTGTATAAACAGACCAATGGGATGGAATAAAGAGGCCAGCATAAAGCCAAGAAATGGCCCCATGGATATGTGGACATTTGGTATTTGTCAAAGCTGGTGTGGCAGAAAATTGGGGAAAGGATGGATTAAAAAAGAAACAAACTGGTGTTGGGACAACTAGGTACCCACGTAGGAAAACGAATAGGTTGGGCCCTTCCTCATACCAATCCTAAGTATTCATTCCAGGTGGAGCAAAGTTCTACATAGAAGAGGCAAGACATAGAAGATAATATAGGAGAGTATCTTCCTGACCTCAAGGTAGGAAACACTTCCTAAACAAGACACAAAAGACCTAACATAAATAAAAAGACCAGTATGTTCACTGCATTAAAGCTAAGAATTTCACCAAAACACACCAGTATGAGAGTGAATAGACAAGCCTGAGCGGCAGAGAAGGTATTCACAACACACGGAACTAGTACACGGTTAGTATTCAGAGAATTCCTGCAAACCAGGAAGAATCAGCCCTATGGAAACCCAGGTAAAATACATGATCTGGCATTGACCTAGAGAAAGGACACCTAGTTGTTCAATAGACATAAAAAGTTACTCAATCTCCTTTATAACCAAAGAAGTGCACATCAAAACCGCAATGAGCTATTACTACACAATCATCAGGTTGGCAAAATTTGAAGTGCAGCCATTTCATGTCATTGGTGAAGACATGAAACAACCTTGCTGACATCCTTGGGTATCTCTCATTTTAGAATCTGATTTTGCCCAAAGAGCTCCATTCCCCAGGCATATGGGATTTTGAATGAATGGTCCGCCCTGATGGTACAGGAAATGGTGGGACGGGGAGAAGGGTGTGGTTCTGCAGGAGCTGTAGGACGTCTCCCTGGCTGGACGGTCGGCTTGCTGGCTTGCAGATGCTCTGTGCCTTCTTTCCCTCTTCCCTTCAGCTCCGTGGGAGAAGCCATCCATGCTCTCGATGGCCACTCGCCAAGACTTCTATGCTGCTGAGGGTACGGCAATTGAGGTGCCTAGGATGCCCAGGGGACAGCACCACAGTCGGCACGACAGGTCCTTGCCCTGCTCGGTGCTGCAGGTGGATCACAAGGGAAATGACACGGCCTTTGTCATCCTAACTGAGGAGAAATGAAGCAGACAGAGGAGGTTTTAACTCCAGAGATGCTAACAAGGTGGAACAACTTGCTCCAGAAGAGGCAGTCAGTGGGCCACGTGGTGCGAGTCTGCAGGCCGCCCTGCACATGGACCCTCCTAGGGAAAGCCCAGCCCAAATGGGATGATTACCAAGTCATGAAAGAATTCATACTTGTTCCCAGACTTTCCATGGTTTCCTTAAATAATGAACTCTCCTATTATACCCCAGATATGAGTTTGCCCTCATTAGTGAAAAGAGCAGCAGAACCGAATTGAGAGCCCTGGTCCCAGATGCAGTCCTTATCCTGCATGAGGCTTGGTGGCAGTCCCAGTGAGCGGGTAGACCGCCAGTCCAGAGGACTGACTGAGCCGGCCTGGAGGGGCGTAGGAAAACCCCAGCCACCACCCAAGCCTGTCCTCACCCCCCTGGAACTATGACTGGGAGAAGTCACCAGTCACGTATAAGAAAAGGACCATAATCCAAGGTCCTGAAGAAGTGAAACCCACGGGTCCCCAACAGAGGCAAAGGCGGAACTGCCACGCGGCAGGCTTGCATCTCCCTGGCACACCCACAGACAGCAGCCTCAGCCCAAGAGGAGCTCCCAGTGGAAGGAGGCCCTGCAGAGAGCAGGCCCGGGGGCCGCGGAGCCTGGCGTTAAGCACCAGGGAGCACTCCTCTGAGAGGCTGGAAGCAGCAAACAGTTTGGGGGCGACAGAACTCAGACGGGGTAGGGCCAGCCAGTGGGTGCAGAGCACAACCTGGAGGGGATCACTGGCTGGTTCATGAGTCCAGTGTTTTAATCCAGTGCGTCTTTCAGGTATTTTTACAGGAAGCTCGAGATAGGTTTCCCCAGCTTTTGTTGTAATTTAAATGTATAGTATACACCAGTACCCCACCAAAAACTTTTGCAAGAAACAATGAAGATTTTTAGTGTTCTCTTCCCAGAAAAGACATAATTCCAACTGTGTTTGTGTTCTTGGCATAAGAAAAAGAGGTTTCTTTCTTTTAATGAACTAGGGAGATCGAGACAGCCTGCCCTCCGTCCGACACATCGCCCAATACTCTCGAGACATACATGTTGTCCCAAGAGTTCAGTGTAGGACACAGTGAAAGTACCTATAAGAAAACAAACAGAAGATGTGCTGGATCTCTGTAAACAAGATTATATTGAGAGACACATTATGATGGACTTATGGAAAAAAGCAGATATATCATATTCCTGATAAGGAAGACTTATTATGGTAAAGATGTCAGTTCCCCCCAGAGGTAATCTGAATTTTTAATGTAATCCCAATAAAAATCCTAACAGATCTTTGTTGTTATTATTTTGGTGGCAGTTAACAAGCTGATTCTAAAATATACATGAGAGTGCAAAGGACCAAGAATAGGTAAGATGGGAAAACTTTCCTGCCAGAGAGCAAGACTTACTATAAATGTGTATTAATGTAGACTGTGTATAAACAGACCAATGGGATGGAATAAAGAGGCCAGCATAAAGCCAAGAAATGGCCCCATGGATATGTGGACATTTGGTATTTGTCAAAGCTGGTGTGGCAGAAAATTGGGGAAAGGATGGATTAAAAAAGAAACAAACTGGTGTTGGGACAACTAGGTACCCATGTAGGAAAACGAATAGGTTGGGCCCTTCCTCATACCAATCCTAAGTATTCACTCCAGGTGGAGCAAAGTTCTACATAGAAGAGGCAAGACATAGAAGATAATATAGGAGAGTATCTTCCTGACCTCAAGGTAGGAAACACTTCCTAAACAAGACACAAAAGACCTAACATAAATAAAAAGACCAGTATGTTCACTGCATTAAAGCTAAGAATTTCACCAAAACACACCAGTATGAGAGTGAATAGACAAGCCTGAGCGGCAGAGAAGGTATTCACAACACACGGAACTAGTACACGGTTAGTATTCAGAGAATTCCTGCAAACCAGGAAGAATCAGCCCTATGGAAACCCAGGTAAAATACATGATCTGGCATTGACCTAGAGAAAGGACACCTAGTTGTTCAATAGACATAAAAAGTTACTCAATCTCCTTTATAACCAAAGAAGTGCACATCAAAACCGCAATGAGCTATTACTACACAATCATCAGGTTGGCAAAATTTGAAGTGCAGCCATTTCATGTCATTGGTGAAGACATGAAACAACCTTGCTGACATCCTTGGGTATCTCTCATTTTAGAATCTGATTTTGCCCAAAGAGCTCCATTCCCCAGGCATATGGGATTTTGAATGAATGGTCCGCCCTGATGGTACAGGAAATGGTGGGACGGGGAGAAGGGTGTGGTTCTGCAGGAGCTGTAGGACGTCTCCCTGGCTGGACGGTCGGCTTGCTGGCTTGCAGATGCTCTGTGCCTTCTTTCCCTCTTCCCTTCAGCTCCGTGGGAGAAGCCATCCATGCTCTCGATGGCCACTCGCCAAGACTTCTATGCTGCTGAGGGTACGGCAATTGAGGTGCCTAGGATGCCCAGGGGACAGCACCACAGTCGGCACGACAGGTCCTTGCCCTGCTCGGTGCTGCAGGTGGATCACAAGGGAAATGACACGGCCTTTGTCATCCTAACTGAGGAGAAATGAAGCAGACAGAGGAGGTTTTAACTCCAGAGATGCTAACAAGGTGGAACAACTTGCTCCAGAAGAGGCAGTCAGTGGGCCACGTGGTGCGAGTCTGCAGGCCGCCCTGCACATGGACCCTCCTAGGGAAAGCCCAGCCCAAATGGGATGATTACCAAGTCATGAAAGAATTCATACTTGTTCCCAGACTTTCCATGGTTTCCTTAAATAATGAACTCTCCTATTATACCCCAGATATGAGTTTGCCCTCATTAGTGAAAAGAGCAGCAGAACCGAATTGAGAGCCCTGGTCCCAGATGCAGTCCTTATCCTGCATGAGGCTTGGTGGCAGTCCCAGTGAGCGGGTAGACCGCCAGTCCAGAGGACTGACTGAGCCGGCCTGGAGGGGCGTAGGAAAACCCCAGCCACCACCCAAGCCTGTCCTCACCCCCCTGGAACTATGACTGGGAGAAGTCACCAGTCACGTATAAGAAAAGGACCATAATCCAAGGTCCTGAAGAAGTGAAACCCACGGGTCCCCAACAGAGGCAAAGGCGGAACTGCCACGCGGCAGGCTTGCATCTCCCTGGCACACCCACAGACAGCAGCCTCAGCCCAAGAGGAGCTCCCAGTGGAAGGAGGCCCTGCAGAGAGCAGGCCCTGGGGGCCGCGGAGCCTGGCGTTAAGCACCAGGGAGCACTCCTCTGAGGGGCTGGAAGCAGCAAACAGTTTGGGGGCGACAGAACTCAGACGGGGTAGGGCCAGCCAGTGGGTGCAGAGCACAACCTGGAGGGGATCACTGGCTGGTTCATGAGTCCAGTGTTTTAATCCAGTGCGTCTTTCAGGTATTTTTACAGGAAGCTCGAGATAGGTTTCCCCAGCTTTTGCATTTCTGGCTCCTGTACATTAGATCAGGTTTTGCCCAAACTGGCTTCACCGACCTGTTCTCACAGCAGGCTCTGTCCAGCATCACCAAACAGCGAAACCTGCAGGTGTCCAGAGTACCATCGGTTGGCGGTCACTGAACCCCAGAGGCCCTGGTGGGGAACTTCCACCCCTTGGGTGCTGTCCCTGCCACCGCATGAAGTCTCAGAGCCTGTTCAGTTACATGAATGGAAGCATGGGCTTCTGCAAACCAACCCCCATGTGCTGGGCCTGGTGCTTGGCACGGGAAATACAGGTCCCTGCCCTCAGCGAGCTCTCCTGGTCAAGTCTGGGTGACAGCACCTGCATAGGTTGTGCCCATGGAGAGTGATAAACCCATTGGACAAACGAGGAGGGCTGCAGGTGGGGCTGGTTGGGTGCGATAGTATTAGATAAGAGAAAGGGGCCTAGGACTTCAGCCAAGTAAGACAGATGTGCGCTAGAAGGTAGGACCTTGGGTTTGAGAGTTTGAATTCCAGTTCTGCCCCTTAAGGCATTAAACGGTTGCCTAGTCTCTGAATTTATTTTCCTCCTCTGTAACATAGACATAATACCTCAATCTCACAGGGTGGTTATGAAGTTAAAAAGAGTCTGAGGCCCATATAAGTACTTAGTTCATGACAGCCATCCTTACTGTGTGAATCAGAGGTCTAGCTCAACACCCCAAGGGTAGAAGTTCTTGCTGTCAAATCCCCAACAAGTGGCTTTGTAAGCAGTGAGTTGCAGGATTGCTCTCCAGCCAGCTCTGGTCCCGCAGTCTTTTCTGGGCCCTGACTCACGTTCTCTCGGGAGGAACAGTTGTGATCACCCTCCTAGTTTCCGCAAGGCCATTCTGGAGGTGGATGAGGTTGCCGCCCAGGCTGCAGCGGCCGTAGGCTGCTTGGTCACCTTTATGGCCTCCTGGGAGAATCATCGCTTCTTTAGCTCGTCTGGTGCTCCCTTTTGATGGTATTTTCTACCTACACCCAGAGCATCCTCTTCTTGGGCAAGGTCGTCAACCCCCTGAAACCACAGCACCCTAGGGCTGGCTCACCTGTTACAAGCAGGAAGATGTGGCCTGCAGGCCTGGGTGTGCGCAGCCCTGTGTCTGCAGTGGAGATGCAGAAGATGCCAAGCGCCCAGGTCAGAAGCTGCTGAGGGGGAGGGATGCAGTTGGTACAAGATGGGTGTGGACTGCACACCCAACTTCCCAGCCTGTGCAACCTCAGGCAGATCATCTAACCTCTTTGAGCAAGTTTCCACCCTGGAAAGTGGGAGAAACCCTCCCAGGGAGGTTTACAGATTAAATAAAATGACGGCTATCAGGCCCCTGGTTCTGTGCCTTGCACACAGTAGACAATAAATGTATCCCTTTCACATCTCTCCAATGTTTGCCCTGCGCTCCCCTGGCATACCTGGTCCCAGACACAGAAGTGAGACACCCCAAGTTCCAGTAGTTGGGGAGGTGTGTACGGCAGGGGGAAGTGGTGTGGGCAGCCAGCTGCCCATAGGCCGGGCGAGGGCCTTGTTTCAGAGCAGGGGCTCCGAAGGCCTTGGCAGGGAGAGGGGCCATCAGGGCCACCTGCACAGGAGCCTGGTGATGAGAGCTCAGTGAGGCAGGCAGCGCCCAGGGCAGCACAGGGGCACAGGCTGTGTACCACCTGCAGCCGTCGGGGTGTGGCCAGGATGGCTCTCCCCCAGAATGGACGGCGTGGTCCCAGCATGCACTGCAGAAGGAGGAAGAGCGCGAGCCTGGAGCCGGAGCCGGGCGGCCTGTTCTCACGTGCTGGCTCTGCTACTAGCGTGCTCCAGGGCCTCAGGCTGATCTCCTCTGCTCCTGGGCCTCGGTTTCCTCACCTGGGTAATATGGGCTGGCCCAGGGGGTACAGCTCAGACTATCTTTAGTATGCGGGGTAAATGTTCTGAGGAGGGACGACCGGCAGTGAGACTCTCCCCCACAGAGTGTGTGAGAAAAAACCCCTGCCTGTCCCCCAGGAGGAGGCAGGCCCGTCACACAAGCTGAGGGCCACCCACAGTGTTGAGGATTTTTCAAGAGTCACAATAGTCCAGGGATTGTGTGACATGGTCCTGGCCCAAATAATGCCACAGCTACAGGAATAGGCACCTTGCAGGAAACCAATATCCGGAGCAAGAGACAGCCCGCTTTGTCGCCGTGGAAAAAGCCATTGCAGAAGGGAGTGCGAGAACTCCCCCTCTCTGCCTCCAGAATACGCCCTGAGCTGGGCAGGACAGCCTCAGGGGGATACTGATAAAGCAAAGCCCCAAATGAGGAAAGTGCTCAGCAAGACCATTCTGGAGGAGCTAATCACACTAGCTCCAGGCCGAGTGGCCAAGCACCCAGAATGCTTTGTAGCTCAGGCCCTGCAAAGCTCAGAGGAATGCATTCCTCCCTTCTGCCTGGCTATACTGGCTGAAAAGCAAGTGTGTTACTGAAAGTAAAATCAGTCCATTTCCCCCTACACCTGCTGAGAGGTTGGATTCTGTTTTTCAACAGCCAGGCAAGAAATAAAGTCAGGCCCAGGCTGATGCATTCCCATGGCCCCTGCAGAGGCAGGCAGGTGGGTGGATTTGAGAGTCTCAGACAAGCCCAAAAGGCCAAAGCCTAGGGTCCCTATGGCAACGTGCCTGCAGGGGCAGTGGGTGAAGGTGAAGCCCTGGTGTGATGGAGGCAGGCAAGGAAAGGCCAGCCTTGAGACTGATGCCTCCTCATTCCGACGAAGCTCCTCCCTCCCCTGCTCAGAAGCACTCAGAGGCTCCCTGTTGCCTACAAGATGAAGGCCGCGCCCCTCTATCTGCAGTCAAGGCCCTCCCTGATCTGGTCCCCACCTGCCTGCCCTGCCTCAGTCCCTCCTCTAGCTCTCATGCACCCAGTGCCTTCACTGACAGGAAGTCTTGCTATGGGCCCAGCGTGCCCACAGCTTCCCATCTCCAGGCCTTTGCTCCTGCAGGTCCCTACTGCCCAGCGTGCTCCCCTCCTTTCTCCAGGAATCTGCCAGCATCTCCTATAAAATATAAATGCCTCATCTCCTCGCTAAGGCGGACTGTCATCCTGCCATCAGATGGTTGGCTGATGTTCGTCTATGCCCCACGGGCCCCGATTAGATGGACCATCTCAAAGGCAGGGCCCTGCTCACTCACCCTAGTGCCTGGGCTGATGCTAGTCTGTCATGTGGCTGAGGCTCAGCCGATATTTGGTGAATGGGTGGATTGATGGATAAAGGAAGGGAGGGAGGGAGGAAAGGAGGGAAGGAGGGAAAAGGCCGTGCCTTGAGAGAGGTGGTTGTTCTGCATCCTCACCTCCTGATGACACATCCCTGGAATTGATTGGGTAAATGTTTAACAGCTCCTCATATTTCAAAATGCCCTGCTAGAGGACTAAAAAAATAAATGAATAAAAAGGCTCCACATAGGACACCTTGTCCCCGAAGAGCAGCACCCATCTGCTGCTCTCCTACTGACTCTCTTTTGGTGTGGCCCTTGGTGTGGCACTCGGGGGCACGTTTTGTCAGGGCCAGTGCTCAGTGCTCACAGGGGCCACAGTGGTCCCTCCTCCAGCAGGAAAAAGGAAGTCTTTCTGTACTTCGCAGGGGAGGGGAAAGGGGGCAACAGGAGTGCCATGAGCATCAGCAGGGGAGTCTGGGGTCCCCAGGTGCCACGGAGGGTGATGGAATGTGGCAGATGAAGGGAAGGCAGGAGCGCCTGGCTGCCTGGGGAGGCAGGGGGTCATTCTCTGAGAAGAGGCAGAACTCAGGTCAGTTGCTCTCATGCTCTGAGCACCTGAAATAGCAAGGCCTGTGGACAAGGGTTTCCAGGAGTTATCGAGAAGCCACAGAGCACCCCCACACAGAACCTGGACTTTGGAGCCAGAAGGCCTGGGACTAGGTAGGTGGTACAGCAAAAGCCTCCATTAAATTAAAGGCATTTCTGTTCAACATTGTTACAAACACTCAGTGGACTGGGCAGAACTCCCTCTGCTCATGGAGAAGCTCACCTGCCAGGGTGGCGTTCTTTGTTGCTCCTGAGGTCAATGGAAAAGTAAGCTATCAGGACCTGTCTGCTCTTATAAATTCCCATATTATGGCCACTGACCCATCCTGCCTTCTCATCATGGCTGTTATAGACTTAATTATGTCCCCACCCCCCATTCGTCTGTGGAAGCCCTAACTCCCAATGTGACTTTGTTTGGACCTAAGGCCCTTAGGGAGGTAATTAAAGTTAAATGAGGTCATAAGGGTGGGGCCCGTGCCAGAGCAGGCCCATGGTGGTCTCTACGGGGCTTGCCAAGCAGTGAGGGGAGGGCTCCTGTCAGAGCTCACACGGCTTTGCCTGCAGCCTGCCTGGTGGCTGGAAGCCTGCCAGGGCAGGGCAGACCAGGGCGGGCCAGGGAAGGGGTGGAGTCAGGGCCCTGCTGTGGTCAGTGACAAATGCTAGCTCCAGTCCAGCCAGCCCTCTGCCCTTTACCAAGCCCGAGGGACTGTCACCTCCACCACTGCGTGCAGTCGGCCACGGGACAGAGTAAGTACAGGCGCTGGGGACGGAGGGCCCTTGGGCTTAGGGTGTGGAAGGAGGGCTGAGGAATGGACTCTGTTGTCATGGGACTTGGAGGGCTTAAGGCTTTGGCGGTGTCCCAGAACGAGCAGGAAAAACTCCCCACTGGGGTGGGGAAGGAACCAGGGCCTCTGAAGCAGCAGAGTGGCCCTAGCTGTGTGACCTTGGGCACAACACTAAATATGGCTGGACCTCAGTTTTCTAATAGGTAAGATGCAAATTGATATATCCTCTGTATGACTGTGAAGATGAAATAAGGGGTGCTTCTCACCCAGGTATGAGTTTATCCATGGGGCCCATGTGGCAACCTCCTAGAGACACTTAGCTGTCACAACTGGAGGGGGCTTGCTATTAGCGGCCAGTGGGTAGAGACCAGGGATTCTGCCAACACCCTACAATGTTAGGACAGGCGCCTCCACAGAGAAGGACCCAGCTTCAAATGCCAACCATGTCGAGTTGAGAAACCTTGAACTAAGGTGGGAGAACAAGGCATCTGGTAGAGAAGGCACCCTGGAAACCATAGCTTGTATTGTTTTCTGTGCCTGCGATCTAGAATCTTTAGAAATCAGGAAAAATGATCAAATTATCTATTTCCCTGAGATACTGTCACCCTGCCTGGTGGCTGCCACCCAGGATGGCCACAGTGGCTGTCTGAACTCCAGCTGCTGTTTGACCATTTGTTAAATAAACAAAACATAGCCATAAAAGAGTGGAACTTTCAGTTTTTCTAAGAATAGGGTGCTTGGCAAGAAATACAACAATAAAAGAGGATAAACATGCTCTCTGGGACGGGCATCCTCAGTCACAGACCCAGAAACCTTAGCGTGAAGAATCAAGTGTGTGGGCGGGAAGAGACGGGAGGACAGCGGCATTTCCGGCTTTCACGGGGGTGATGGTGTCAGTGGTGTCTGTGGAGGGCCAAACTCATCCTGCAGTAGACATCATGTATGGCTTTTTGTAGGTCAGTCAGACCTCGATAAAATGAATTTAAAAGAAAAAGGAAACTGTAGCTGAACAGCAGGGCAGGAGTTGTTCAAGGTCATTTGGCAAGGTAGCCCCAGCACCAGGAGAGCTCTGCTCTGGATGCCAGTCTGGCTCCATCTCCGCTACTCGGTGTCTGGCATGCGGTCCGACACCTATGCATTACTGAGGAGACAAGGATCCATTCATTCATTCATTCTACAAAGGTGCCTGAGCAGCGGCCCTTGACTATGAAGTCTCACAGCCAAAAGCAGTGTAGGTGAGGGTTCCTTCTGCTACAAGCACATCTCCTAGTGGGGGAGAGAGGCTGGAACAAAAGAAGTCACCCCTGGATGCATATGCTGTTGCACTTATGCAATTGGCGGAGTGATGAGAGACACAACCAAGGGCCATTACAGAGAATACTAGCGGAAATGAAGGAGCCACAAGGGGACATGGCATTACGGAGAAGTGACATTTAAGCAGAGGTCTGACACCCAGGGACATGGCAGTCTTGGTGAGAAAGGCGGAGGGAGGTTTCTAGCAGAGAGAGCAGACCATGCAAGGCCCAGGGCTGTGACAGGAGCTGCTGTTTCAGGAATTGAAAGACGTGTGCCCAGAGGACACAT